TGGCATCAATTTTAATAATGGGCCTGTGTAGGTGCAGACTGGACAGAGTGCTGATGGTCAGTGGCCTCTTTCAGCAGGATATTACGCCCTGTTGCACGGCACACATTTTTCAGGAATGGTTTAAAGAAACAAAATGAAGAGGTCAAGGTGAACTCCAAATTCTCCAGATGTTAATCTGATTGAGAATCTGTGGGATGTGCTGGACCAACCAGTCCAATCCATGGTGGCTCAGCCTCGCAACTTAAGGACATGAAGGATCTGCTGCTAACGTCTTGGTGCCAAATACCACAGGATGCCTTCAGGGGTCTTGTAGAGTCCATGACTTGGCAGGTGAGGTCAGTGCTGTTTTGGTAGTACAAGGAGGATCACCACAAAAATAAGGGCAAGGCAAGCTTTTCATATTCATCATTTGTCAGATACCATTCTATAAATATCTTGATCGAATTCCATATTAAAGAACTCCACTGAACACAGTAAGAAATCAGTCTGCTTAGTCAACACAGGTTTTACAGATATCAGAAATTCCCTTAAGGGCATGGAATTCTGGGATGAATATCACAGCACCCATCTCTGAGCTCTGGAAAATCCCCCGGGGCTTTTTCATCAGGTCTGTAAATTGGATTTGTTCCCTACCATTGATTCTAGTATAAAAACCACAACTGACCTGAATGATGGCACCAATTCCACCAGAGCCAATCAGGGTGACAGTATTTGTTGTTGTTTAACTCAGTGCTGATAACGCTGAGGGAAAACACAGTGCCCTATGCATTTATAGCACTTGTGATGAATCGCTTCTGCCACTTACAGAGATTTCCTGTCACAGAAGGTCAGGGGTCAGCTTCTTTTGTGCAAAACTGTTTTGTGCCTGGCGAGTTGGCACCTCATGCACAGAACGGTTGCTTGGATGAATGAATGACTCATGTGTGACATTATGATAACATTTAGATTGTTTTCTGGGTTGGTCCTCCTGTTTCCAGACTTTTTGGACAAAGACTTGATTTAAGGCAGCAAAAGTTCACTCATTATTCACTGACAGGCCAAACAATGAGCAACTGAATTATGGGAAACCAGATGTGATATGGTCTCTATGGGGAAATGTAATAAAATTTGTCCATCTGTCGAGTTTAGTGTGTGTTTTTGTCTATATTTAGAAATTTGTAGTTGTAATACAGCGATTCTTTGAATCCTTCTCCAGTCTGTATCACCCGAGGGCACTTTGATTGGCGGCTAGTCGTCAGGGTTGTGTAACATCAGCAGGGTAATTAAAAACATCTCTCCACTCGTTTAATCTTCTTAATTATTTATGGTTCTATTCTCAGCCTAAAATCATGCTAGCATCCTGGTGCACCATATGCCCCAGATTCTTGTGACATTCTCACTTTTTTCAATGGCTTTCTATATTGAGTATAATATACTCAGTATATTTGGAGTTTGTCCTAAAGTCACTTTCTGAGGAGACTGTAGTATGAGATCAAGAATATAAGTACACTGAGCAGTGCAGTGTACTAGGGCTGGTGATCAAATACAAATTATTGTGATATATTCACAATAATTTAGCTGACAATATTTATTTAGGCAGTAGTCTCTTGACTGGTATTTTCCATACTGTATACATAAATGTTGCTTTTTATCATTGTGTATTATTATATTGTTGCATAGGGGAAAATACAATTCTTCTTGTTGATTTAGTGAAAACAGCATAGAAAACATGGCCTAATTAAGTTTTTTTAACTAATTTTTCCATGTGTTTTACTCTCTAATTTTTAAGTCCACTTTGCAACAATGGCTGTTTGGCTGAAAAGAAAATGCTTCCTCTGTTTAGAAAAGAAATCACAGTTACCATCTCAGTTATTTACATTATTAATATTCAGTGTTAAAACTATACTAAACTATACTATAGAATTTCTTATATTTATAAGTTTTTGAGAATTATAAAGATAGTAGAACTGAACTCATACACATCAGTTGTTACACCATTCATTACATATTGAATGCAACATGAGCAGAAATGAGTGAATGTGGTCAGCTTTATACACAACTGTACTTTGTATATCACAGACAGAAAAAAATATGTGTTTTTGCCTGCAGTTTACAAACAATTCAATAGATTTCAGTCAGATAGTCCACACCTATTGTACTCTCCTCAGTCTGTCTTTACTGACTCTCTCAAATCATTCTCTCAGTATAAGTCTCTGTGAGTTTCTCTGGCACTTCTTTTTAGAGGCTTTTAGAGGACTTATTTAGAGTGTCACCTCTCTAAATCTCTCTAGTCTACCTCTCTATGACTCTTTGTCTGACTCTTTTTGATGTGGGAATTTCTGTCCCAAGTCTGTTTAAATCTCAAAGCCATATGCATTCCATTTCTCTGAAATACTTTGTACAGAGTTCAACTTCATACATGGGCAGTCCTGGACTAATGCTTGACCTCACTAGCCAGATGTGTTTTCCTCAGAGGAATAGAAACATCTTCAAAACATTCCATCAAAAATGACTACAGGTTACTGAGAAATAATAGAAAGTTTTTGTTTTGCTTTCACTTGGCTGCATTCAAATAAAAAAAGCTAAATGAATTAGATGGTTCTTTTAATTTTGAAGTGATAAAAAAGAATATCATATTATCATTTTAATCAGCCTAATTAAGTATTTTAACTCTTGCTTTTTCTGTTCTGTTGGGGTGTGCACTTTTTTTTTTTTCTTCCAGATTGCGGTTGTCCATCAGTAGTTGTAAATATTTCTCTCTGCCCTCCATCAAAGCTGACCACAATGATCTCATGTGTCGCCACCTGTTTATGCTTTCCAGGCAGGTAAAAGGTGTATAATGCATGTGACTGGAAGAGGTGTGAAGTGAACCAATACACACACACACACACACACACACACACACCTGTGCTGTTGCATAACGGAGTTACATAGGCCTTACATCACACCAGTGTCCTTATCACTTATCTGCGATGCTGCTTTGAAAAGGAGCCTGTTTCCTACCTGTGAAATGTTGGTATCAGGTGTTTACTGGATGCTGATGTGATCTTTGAAGTTTCGCTGTAGTGTCTGTCCATCAACCAGCAACACATTGAGAGAAAGAGAGAAAAAAGCCTCAGCTCTTCTCTTTTGATGCTGGGCCATCATAATAGATACAATCATATATTTATATATTTTGTATGTAATTTCTTAATGAAATTGCATTAGGGATGCACAACATATCGATACCATACAAAATAAATAAAATCTTTAAAAACAAGTAGTTATTTAATTAGTAATTAAATCAATTAATTATTTAACTAATACTGTTAAATGACATTTTTTGTAAAACTCAAAATAATTATCCATTGTTCATACTGTACATTTGAATTGAGCTTTTAGTGATTATTTTTTAATTTCTTTTGTTAAAGTAGTATATAATTTTAATGTCAACCATGAAAATATGAAAATAATTATCTTATCTGTATAGGCCAGAATTGTAATATTATGCTCCTCTAGCATCAATACTTTTATCAGTATTTATTTTTATTTATTTATTTTTATTCATTTATGCATGTATGCATTCATATTTTACAGTTGAATGTAGAAGCAGGTCATCATGGTGTGTCCTTATCTCTACATAGCTTTTAGTGATTATTTTTTAATTTCTTTTGTTAAAGTAGTATATAATTTTAATGTCAACCATGAAAATATGAAAATAATTATCTTATCTGTATAGGCCAGAATTGTAATATTATACTCCTCTAGCATCAATACTTTTATCAGTATTTATTTTTATTTATTTATTTATTTATTTTTATTCATTTATGCATGTACAGTGGGGAAAAAAAGTATTTAGTCAGCCACCAATTGTGCAAGTTCTCCCACTTAATGGTGTGTCCTTATCTCTACAAATCTGATTTCAACATCACAAAACTAAAACTACTTTGCACAGGTCAGCATGTTAATCTTTATTATGTTTCATTCTTCATTAAAGGAATAGTTCATCCAGAAATGAAATCATTTATTCACCCTCATGTTGTTCCAAACCTGTATACTGGTTTATGCAGATTGACGAGCTTAATCAGCTTAATCAGTTTTGCAGGTGAACAGCATGGAAATACCAACATTAACCAGTGTTTGTAAAATCATGATGTTTCTAGCTGGTGTTTATTTTACATGCCACACACAAACACACAAAAAGCTGGTGTGTCATGAAGGTGGATGTCCACTCCTTCCACCCAGGTAGTGTGTAAGTCTACACCGCTTGCAGGAAACACTCAGAGCTGTGCATGAATTAGTGATTGACACATCGCCTCTAGTTACACAGTGCCTGAGTTCAAAACAAACCTTCTCTATGTGTGGGAACAGAACCACTGAAATGCAAACACAAACTGGACAATGCTGCATATGAACAACAAAAATTCTTCTTCTTCTTAAAATTTCAGATTCAATTTATTCAGATAGTAGTTTTATTCATAGAAATTAAACATGAGAGAGCAAAAAAGATCATCAGATCTTTTGTTTTATTATGAATTTTTGTTTTGTGTTATCAAATTAATGTTAGATTTTGCACTTTAGCACAGGAGCTGCAGACTTAAAATCTAATTTATATCAAAACAAACATCACATTTATATCTTAAACAACAGTTAATTAGCCACACCAATTAATCACAACAGTATAGTGAATATAGACAATGTGTGGTGTAAATCTAGAACTTGTTCTAGTATCCTTGAATGAACCTTTTGTTTTATTTTCTTCCCGTCACCGTTCTGTCTTTACTTGCTCCATCAGCACAGTTAAGGTCATACTATTTCACCTGCCCCCTTCTATTCAAAACCATCCAAATCAGCACTGCTGGGTCCTGTACCATGCCTCTAGGGCACAGGAGAGCATGATGCTAGTTTTATAATAACACAGATGCTTAAAACATCAGCAGAATCGTGAAATTACACACTGCAAAAGTTTACAGTAGATGTGAAGTTATTTAATTCAAAACCAAAGCAGTTCTGAATTGTGTTTTGTTTGTGATTCTCCTCAGGAGCGGTTTGAGGCTCTGTTCAGGATCTATGATGATCAGACGACCTTCCAGATGTTCAAGAGTTTCAGAAGAGTTCGGATCAGCTTTAGTACTCCAGAGGCTGCTGCACGCGCACGCATCGAGCTCCATGAATCCGATTTCAGCGGCACTAAACTAAAACTGTACTTCGCACAGGTCAGTGCTTTACTTTTTATTATGTTTAATTCTTCATTAAAGGGATAGTTCATCCAGAAATGAAAATTCTGTCATAATTTATTCACCCTCATGTCGTTCCAAACCTGTATGCAGGAGCTGTCAAACTCCAAAACAGCACAAAATAACATCATAAAATCAGTCCATATGACTTGGGCACTATATTCAAATGCTATAAAGATATATTTCCAAAACCGACTGAAATATACAATTCTGTTTAAAAGTTTGGTGTCAGTAAGATATATTTTGAAATCTCATTTTAAGGTTGGATTTATGTAATCAAAAATACAGTAAGAACAGTGATATTGTGAAAGATTATAAAAAAAATAAAATTCCTTTAATTTCTATATTATTAATAATCTAATCTAATAATCTAAATAAAATGATTAATTTCTTAAAAAAAAAAACTTACTGGCAATGTAAGTCTTTATTCATTCATATTCATTTATTATTTTTCATAATTTTGCTTTCCCCTGAAGTTTGCATATAGCCCATGTTCTAACTCATATGGTTATGTTATTTGTTTTTTTATGTTGAACACAAAGGTAGATTTATTTTGTATTTTTTTGTATGTTATGTTTATTGGAGCATTTTCAAATGTAACATTCAAAAAATACCCAAAAGCAAATACATACAAAAAAAAAAAAGTCAAACAGATAATCATAGCATGTTCTCTTACTTAAATTTAGTTTGTTACAACAGCAGATGTAAACGAGGGAGGGCATGGCAAGTTTGTACATAATGTAACATAGTAACATAATGAATCAAGCAAGGTGCATAAGGTGTTTGATTCATTTAACACATTGTCTTTGACAACTAGAAGAAAATTATAAGAATTTATAGGACAATTATAGGAAGCAACATGAGCTGAGATCTCGGGACTCTCAGTGTAACATTAGCAGGAGACCAGACGAGTGAACAGGAGAGTTTAGTTCTTAATTTCTGCTCTCAAGAGGTCTGTCAGCTGGGGATAGTCACACAGTCTCACACACACACACACACACACACACACACACACTGTGGAGACCATTGCTATTAATGATGTGAAATCAGACAGACACAATTATATTTCTAGAATCATTATGCAGTAAATGTGCTCCACGTGTTTTATTCAGAACACTGAAAAAGTGTTCACAATGATTCTGTGTATTTGTGTGCTGCTGTGTGGAAGTGCAGATATGATCTAGGACACAGTGTGTCTTTCGAACAGTAAAAGAATAGCCTGTTTCCTTCAGAGAGATGTAACTATAGTGAGAGTATTCCTTCAAATCAATTAGATCTGGGCCTGAACTGTGCTATATTTAGCTTAGAGGATGTATTTAATTTAAAAGGAGAGTTAGAGCAGTTTTTTCTTTGTTTGTGTAGTCTTGTTTTGTGCTTTACTACCTCATCTTTTTCCTCTCTGGCCGCAGGTGCAGAATTCAGGGGACGATGTGGACAAGACATACCTTGCCCCACCTCAACCTGTCAAGCAGTTCCTCATCTCTCCACCTGCATCCCCACCTGTGGGATGGAGCCAGAGTGAAGATGCCACACCAGTGACCAACTACGACCTGCTGTGTGCTGTGGCCAAACTGGGACCAGGTACAAAACACACAAGACACACACAGTCATGATGATACAAGCATATGCCACTTACTCCCATCCATACAAACAAACTGTGCTGAGTGTACGTTTTGTAACCATCTGGACCAAATGTATGTGTCCTCACTGACTCAAACATTAATTTTAATAATTTTAATATAAACTTTTTTTAATTTGATAAACTGACCCCAAAAGCATTTGAAGTTAAAATATTTTCTTGAAAAGTATGCTTGTGCTTTTTTTGTGAAGAGTGTTTTTTTGTTTATATCTTTTTTTTATTTAATTTTTTTATTTATGTTATGCTGGGAGCTGTCAACTGATAATATATAATATAAAAAGATCTTAAAGGGGACTGATATATTTATATATAAGTATATCAGTTTCTTCTATAGATTTATTTTGTTTGCCTCTGAGTGTATAAACCTTAAAATGTTCATTTCTGTCAGGCACTGGATGCAATGAATCCAGGATATGTAATGGTAAACTGAGAAACTACACTATCAGTGTAAGAATTTTTAATGTATTTGAAAGAAATGTCTTGACCGAGGCTGCATTTATTTGATACAGTAAAAACAGTGATCTATTGAAATATTATTACAATTTTAAATAACTCTTTTCTATTTTCATATATGTTCAAATTTAATGTTAAAATGCATTGAAAGAAGAAAGCAACTATGTAAAAGTCTTTACTGTGATCAATTTAATGTGTCCTTACTGAATAGTATCAACCTTATTGACTTGATTTCATGAAAGTTATTATACAGTGTTACTGAGAAGTTGAAGCATTTGATATGTGGGGGGTCCCTGCATTGGAAAATGTTGATAATCCCTGATCAAATTCAATGGCAATGATACATTTTTAAATGTGACTTTAGTGTTCAAATAATTTTTGGTGTCACATTTTCAGATCCCATTCCTCCATCTTCTTCACCATCTCCTGATATCTCTCTACTGTATTATGAATTAAAATGGCAAGAAGGCTAAAATTGTATTAGGATAGGATGCTGTATTGTAAAAGATAATATATGTTATCAACAAATGTGTTAATGTGTGGTTGGTGATCAATTGTGTTTAAAAACTGAACTGTAATAGGTGGCAGCAGTAAACAGAAATGGAGTGTTAAACTGTTTGAGATGTTCCTCCTCATGTGTGCTGTGTCTGCACCCCCTGCTGGTACATATCACAACACACACACTGACTTCCTGCCATGACAAACCTCTTATCACCTCTTATTGGTTGGCTCGTTACTATAGTAACCCTCATTCTGTTTCTCAGTGTTTGTGTGTTCTCAACAGTAGTGCTATCTTTTTTTACTAACAGTTGTAATCTTTTAATGGCTTTCAAATATCATATAATTTCTTAGTGAGAAGACATTTATCTACAAAATGTTCACCTGATGCAGAAAAGCACAAAATGTTATGGGCACTATTCTTCATATCTGGATTAAGTTATCTGGCTTGAATTGTTGATGATATGACATAATCCTGGACTGTTCCGCTCTTTGAATCTCATAAGAGTTGCCGTTATAGCAACAAGCCCATAAGATCAAACATGCTTAGTATTATGTTTATTTAACATAAACGGGATCAAATCACTAAGGAGGTGAAGTCTGTCCCACTGGCTGTTCTTAGAGGAGCACCATGTTAAACTAGATGCAAAAAAATACTTGTCACTAGTTAAACCGACTGCTTTTCTAAGGCTATATTGTTGTTGTTGTTGTTGTTGTTAATGATGATAGATAGATAGATAGATAGATAGATAGATCTAATAATTTACATTAGCTGTACAGTTTGTCCAAGCAATGCAAAGAAGGTTTTTTTCTCATGGATAAATTCTTGTTCTTGGGTAGTTCTTGTTTAACATTTTTTGCGATTGTTGTCAGTATTTCATAGGTCAACATTTGGTTCAATAGACAATGCAAACATGACCTGTGTAAAAGGTTCGGGAATGTATTTGTACTAGAGTTTTCGTGAAAGTTGAAAATGTCCTACCCACAGAATGGATTTCACCAATGATCAAGAAGTTCATAGCTAAATTCAGGACATATTTGGCTGGGAAGGAAGTCGTGAGTTCTAAAACAAACTGCATGTTTTTTTAGTGTGTCAATTGATTTCAAAAGTTCTTCATCTTTTATCTGTCTCTTTAGGTGAGAAGTACGAGCTGCATGCGGGTACAGAGTCCACTCCTAGCGTGGTGGTCCATGTGTGTGAGAGCGAAAATGAGGATGAGGAAGAAGCCCAGCCAAAAACCAAGATTGTCCAGACCAGACGCCCCGACGGTCCCCCGAAAGTCTACAACTAAAACCTTTGGCACACTTTACACATTTTTCTCTCTCTGTGTGTCTCTTTCTCTCATCCAGGGAAAGGCACGCTTTATTTCAATAACAAAAAAAGCTAAACTAAGAAATGGATGGATTTGGAGGGGTGCTCTGTGCACAGGTGACGTGTGGTGTTCTGAACTGGACTCGTGGACTGAACACACTGTCTCACTGCTGCCTCACGGGACAGCCAGGGGGCGATGAGCTTGCAACCCCCCTCTCACAATCATAACACTTTCATTCTCTCATTTAAAGTCATTGTACTGTCGCATTGAAGAGCAGTAATTGTCTTTAACAGTCGTAGAAGTAGGTTACATGTAAACTTTGTTACTGTTTGTCACTTTGATTGATCATCAAAGAAAATAATGCTTTAAAAAAGGAAGCAGACCCATTCTGCTTTTTCTGTTTCTCTCTCGACAGCCGTGTCCGCGTTTATCTCCATATCAGTCAGGTTGGCACACCTGCAGAGGTGGCGCTGCTCGCTGGGATTGTGACGTGTGCGTATTTATGCCTGTTCATACCATGCTAGAATGGGATGACAAGTTGTTTAATGGAAATGGTAAGAACGAAGGTGTCGACTGAAGTGTTTCTGTCATGTTGGTTATGACGAGAGGGTGTTTACTAAGTTAGATGTGTATTATTTTTACTGTGTATTTGATAGCACACATTTTTGCATGCTAACTGGCGTATTTTACACTCTATGTTAAAGCAACTTGTGATTGTCCTTGGAAAGCAAAGAAACAGTTGTCAGGCGTAAAGTTCAACGTTTTGTACTTGTATAGCACATCATTCACTTGCAGGCCAGACAAACAATTAGGAAAAAGCACATGGTTTGGGTCTTAGTTTTACACCATTTCTGTTTGGCGTGCTTCTGCACCACTTGCATTGGGGTTTTTTTGCAAGGTTTTTCATATCTTCATAGATTTACTGAATCTACATTGACATGCTCAATTTTCGAAATGAAAAACAATGTGCCAAGCGACTTGGCCCAGAACCACTGTGTCAACGCTTGACTACTGTCATATCAATGTTAATTAAGTTGTGTATTTTGCATTGACAGATCAAATCATAAAATCCGAAAAATGAAAATTCTGTCATCATTTACTCATTTACTTTCAAACCTGTATGACGTTCTTTCTTCTGCAGAACATAAGTTATTTTGAAGAATCTTGGCAACCAAACCGTTTTGGTGCCTTTTGACTTATATTGTATGGAAATTTCTTCTCTTATCCCAGTTCTTTTGTGTCTCGCAAAATCCTAATTTTTTATTTTTTTGGTTTATAAACCTCCACTGTGTTAATTCATACCAAAATGGTAATAATAGATGAAAATGGATGGATGAAAATGTCATTTTAAGATGTGTTTTAGTAATAATGTACAGACAGTGAAGTAGAATGCCACGATTGGCCATCAGATTGAGGATTGAAGAGAGGCTTGTAAAGATGGTGGTTAAATTAGCCTTATAAAAAGTCACATTTTAGTCAAAGAAAGAAAATCCAGTTAAATATTGAGTGATATTCAGTCATATTTTTAAATGTGATGTCATGATGATGTAATCACATTAAAAATAAATAATGCAAGCAAATAACTGTGATGTTCATGTGACTTTATAAATGGCCTTGCTCTCTTGCTTACATGTGAGAAAAAGATTTCAAGTGTTTTGTTTAAAAGCCAATCCTTCAGTGACGAATGACCCCTTTAGCAAATAACTTAATAAAGAAATAAATCTTATCAGAATTTAACTTTTTTTTTATTTTTTACTTCTGCATGCTGTGACTTTTCCATAGATGCAGTCTTTCCTGTTTGTATCTCACTCTGAATGCAGCCCGTTTCTCCTGTTGTGTTTTCGGGTGTTCAGTCGATATGGGGGTGAGAAACATGGTGAACAAAGCTCTTTTGAGTTATTGATAACCAGCATGAACAAATGTTTTGGACTCTTTGAGTTTTGTGTGTGTTAACCTTTAAGACAAAAGGAAGAAGTGAAGTATATGAACACAACAAGCAAATTTGTAAGATATCATTGGCAGCATAATGTATTGATATTTTTTACTATCTTTAAGGCTGTTGTTGCAGTTGCTTTGTATCCGTAAAATGATTGTGTTCCTTTTCTTTTTTTTAAGGAAGTCTACAGATAGTTCTATCACTGTTGCTGTTCTGTTTGGATATAGATATTGTCTAGTACTGTAACTGTAGTTCATAACCCGTGAACACGAAGCAATAATTGACAGTTATGTTTGTGTCCTTGTATGCTATTTTTTTTTGTGCAGAGCTCTTCTCTGACTCTTGCCTTGCTTTTGTTTGTGTAAATATGATTGTTATTTGTTTCTCATTGGCATATAAATATATAAATAAAGATATATATATAAAAAACTGATTCTTTCAAAAAAAAAAAGTGTAATATGTTTATTTCACCCAAGTCAAGTACCTCCCAAGTGTGCATCGTCCATTATGATTCAATACTGTTTAAGGGTGTAAATAACGTTTATTGGACCTATATTTCATTAATCATAGATGAATACCAGGATATATATTACAAAATTTTGTGCGTGTGTGTCCTTTTCCTCATTCCATCTGTGAAGGAGCGGTCATGCGTGGGCAAAAGCGTAAATTCTGAATGGACATTGTCCGATCAACATTCAGATTGTGCCAGGCTTTATAAATATCTTGTAAGTTGTACTTATTGTCTGTTTTGCCTTTTTTTAAACCAAAGGTAGGTTTAACTGTCACAGCCTACTTTCCACTATCCACTTTTTCTTTATCTGATAATACAAGGAGGTTCCTCTACACCTCGCCAGGGGAGAATGGGACACACCTGATTTTTGTTTTTACCTGTCAATGAGGAGATCCCAGCCCAGTCTCCTGGGATACAAATACTGATACAAAGATACTAATTATACACGCTCTCACATGTCCTGTTGGGAATCATGCTTTGAGGGATATAATAAGGAGCTTGTGAATCACATCTAGTAGCTTTGAACAAGATATACTAGAACTAGATCTGCCTAAATTTGTAACGTTTTTCCTCTTGCATAATGCAAATCGATGTGTATACTGAAAACCTGCTTATAACCACTTAAAAGTAGCAATACAAGTTATCTGATAATATATACTCAAGATTGTATCACATATCACTTATACTGTATAATCTGAGCATGTATATTATCGACATATTCATTTATAAATATCACATAAAGTGCCCCCAAAAAGTATTTGAACACTTAATTGTGTCACACTTAAAATGTATAAATGTCTTTGTATAATAAAACAAAATATCAAACTAAACATACATATAAAAAGTGCACGCACTGCTTTAAAGCAAAATATTTAATAAGTTTGCTATGGGTGCATATTAAAATTATTAAAAAATAAAAGCATTTTTCCCCACATTATAGGTGATAACTGATCAATTGCCAATAGCATATACTATTTTATCTAATTAATACAAACTCAAAATATTAAATAATGTTTCTAAAGGTTTTTTTTCAAGTGAGCATCATATGACAGCAAAGGTAATAGGCCAAATGAGCTATCTATATCGAATATCGACTAATGCTGATAAATCCATCATCCATCCATCCATCATTCCATGGGCTCACGCCCGTTGGTGTCCAATGCCTGTCTGACGCTCCATTTCCACTGTGCACGGTCCAGTGCCATTCTGCTGAGAGAGTGGATGTCCATCTGACACCATTCTTTTAGTCTTCCTCTCTGTGTCCATCCATCCATGATCCCAAACACCACACACTTCACCAGTCGCTTGTCCTCCATCCTGCAGATATGTCCAAACAGGCTGAGCTTCCTCTCCATGATGAGTTGTACGATGTTCCTCGTGTTTCCAACTCGTCTTTGCACCTCCACGTTTGTGATTTTCTGATGCCAGTGAATGTGCAAGATTCTCCTGTAGCACTTCATTTCATAGTTCTATCACTGTTGCTGTTCTGTTTGGATATAGATATTGTCTAGTACTGTAACTGTAGTTCATAACCCGTGAACACGAAGCAATAATTGACAGTTATGTTTGTGTCCTTGTATGCTATTTTTTTTTGTGCAGAGCTCTTCTCTGACTCTTGCCTTGCTTTTGTTTGTGTAAATATGATTGTTATTTGTTTCTCATTGGCATATAAATATATAAATAAAGATATATATATAAAAAACTGATTCTTTCAAAAAAAAAAAGTGTAATATGTTTATTTCACCCAAGTCAAGTACCTCCCAAGTGTGCATCGTCCATTATGATTCAATACTGTTTAAGGGTGTAAATAACGTTTATTGGACCTATATTTCATTAATCATAGATGAATACCAGGATATATATTACAAAATTTTGTGCGTGTGTGTCCTTTTCCTCATTCCATCTGTGAAGGAGCGGTCATGCGTGGGCAAAAGCGTAAATTCTGAATGGACATTGTCCGATCAACATTCAGATTGTGCCAGGCTTTATAAATATCTTGTAAGTTGTACTTATTGTCTGTTTTGCCTTTTTTTAAACCAAAGGTAGGTTTAACTGTCACAGCCTACTTTCCACTATCCACTTTTTCTTTATCTGATAATACAAGGAGGTTCCTCTACACCTCGCCAGGGGAGAATGGGACACACCTGATTTTTGTTTTTACCTGTCAATGAGGAGATCCCAGCCCAGTCTCCTGGGATACAAATACTGATACAAAGATACTAATTATACACGCTCTCACATGTCCTGTTGGGAATCATGCTTTGAGGGATATAATAAGGAGCTTGTGAATCACATCTAGTAGCTTTGAACAAGATATACTAGAACTAGATCTGCCTAAATTTGTAACGTTTTTCCTCTTGCATAATGCAAATCGATGTGTATACTGAAAACCTGCTTATAACCACTGAAAAGTAGCAATACAAGTTATCTGATAATATATACTCAAGATTGTATCACATATCACTTATACTGTATAATCTGAGCATGTATATTATCGACATATTCATTTATAAATATCACATAAAGTGCCCCCAAAAAGTATTTGAACACTTAATTGTGTCACACTTAAAATGTGTAAATGTCTTTGTATAATAAAACAAAATATCAAACTAAACATACATATAAAAAGTGCACGCACTGCTTTAAAGCAAAATATTTAATAAGTTTGCTATGGGTGCATATTAAAATTATTAAAAAATAAAAGCATTTTTCCCCACATTATAGGTGATAACTGATCAATTGCCAATAGCATATACTATTTTATCTAATTAATACAAACTCAAAATATTAAATAATGTTTCTAAAGGTTTTTTTTCAAGTGAGCATCATATGACAGCAAAGGTAATAGGCCAAATGAGCTATCTATATCGAATATCGACTAATGCTGATAAATCCATCATCCATCCATCCATCATTCCATGGGCTCACGCCCGTTGGTGTCCAATGCCTGTCTGACGCTCCATTTCCACTGTGCACGGTCCAGTGCCATTCTGCTGAGAGAGTGGATGTCCATCTGACACCATTCTTTTAGTCTTCCTCTCTGTGTCCATCCATCCATGATCCCAAACACCACACACTTCACCAGTCGCTTGTCCTCCATCCTGCAGATATGTCCAAACAGGCTGAGCTTCCTCTCCATGATGAGTTGTACGATGTTCCTCGTGTTTCCAACTCGTCTTTGCACCTCCACGTTTGTGATTTTCTGATGCCAGTGAATGTGCAAGATTCTCCTGTAGCACTTCATTTCACATTTCTGATATGCTTGCTGTTCCATATTGTCTTGAACCCTGCCATTACTCCAGTTACCCTCGCTATTCTCCTCTTTATCTCCTTGTTGCATTCATTGTTCCAGGTCAGTAGACTAACCAGGTACACAAACTCCATGACATTTTCAATACTTCTGCCCCTAATCTCCAGTTCCTCTTCTATGTCCTCTTGTCCAAACACCATTGTCATTGTCTTTTCAATGTTGATCTCTAATCCTGCGGCCTCCCCTGCTTCATTGATCCGATCCAGATTTCCTTGTAATTCAACTCCAGTAGATCAATGTCATCTGCAAATTTGAGGTTGTTGATCTTGTAACCATGGACTGATATTCCAGTGCCATTGTCTCTCACCGAGTCCATTACTCTCTCGAGGTACGAGATGAATATAGTTGGCGATATCAGATCCCCTTGTCTTGTTCCGACCGTTGTTTTAAACCAATCGCCCATTTCTCCGCCAACTCGCACCGCCGACTGCGAGATTTCACAGATGTTCTGCAGTATCTTGGTCAATCTTGCTCTGACTCCATATGACTTGAGTGTTGCCCAAGTGACGTCCTGTTTGATGGAG